GTGTCTTCGCAACTTTATCCGCCAGTTCCCTCAGGACCCGCAGATGCATCTCATCAGGTCCCACGGACTTGTGCACCTCCAGGTTCCTTAGATAGTCTCAAACTTGATCTTCTACAGTGGGTGGCTCTTCATTCTCCCAGTCCCTGTTCAAAGAACCCTGCGTGCCCGTAAGCAACCCTGCCCTACGTACCATGTCTGTGCCATAGACCGGGGAGGTCATCTTGATCTCCCAGAAGTGCTGCCCGTCCGCCAGCTCTTTGTTCCCACGGATGGCGGCGGTGCCGCAGCTGTACTCCATGTGGAAGTTCACCTTGCGGTTGTCGCAGGTCAGCAGGGTGGCCGTCGACTTATTCAGGTCATCCCACACCCAGTCGAAATCTGTTGGGGAAGCAGAGGGGGGACAAGGATGGGGAAAGGCCCTCAGGGAGCCATCCCCACCCACGCACGTTTGTTTCGAGGGCCTGTTGCGGGTTTTGTTTATGGTTGGGTTTTTTTACCCTTTAGGAGGGTAAATCCTAAGATGTGCACACTGGAGAGTTGTTTAAGACCTGAACTATTCTGCAGTGTCCCACCGGGGACGGTTCAGCGCTCTGAACCCGAAGCTGTCAGCATTGACCAGTTCCCATCACGAGCAGAGCCAGGCGGAGCCTCCCTTCTTCCTACGCTTGTTGTAGGCTCAAGGAGTAGCTCTGCTACACCACAGGCGTTCTCGGCCAGCCCAAGCCCACCCTCTGCCTACCTCTCCTCTCTGCTCTGAGCACGCCCTGCCACGCAGCCGGGCGCCCTGCCAGCACCAAGGATCAGCGGCCGTAACCACAGGGGCCGGTTGCACTGGTGGCCTCAGCCGGATCTGAAAGCAGGTGCCCAGAGGTGAACTCTGATGCATTAACAAGTTCAGCACTTAGCCCTTGAAACATCACAGGAGGCACGTGCTTGTAATCTTCCTACAAGTCTACGTGGCCTTGAGATGTAAACAAAGGAGCACCGCAATGCCGGGACAGAGATGAGGGCCCGCGTGGAAAGCAAAGGATCCGTGCAGGGCCCCCTCGAACGCCACCTCGAACCCCAAAGGACTAAGACGGGCTGTTGGGGAGCCCCTTCCTTACACTCATCCTCCTCGCCACACTGGCAGTCCTTGATGCGGTGGAGGGCGTGCAGGCTGGAGCAGTACGGCGCTTCACTCTGGTTCTCACAGTTGCAGTAGGACTCTCCGGTCACGGGGATGGCACTCGGGATGGAAGGTGAGAGGGAAGAAAACTCTGGCTCCGAATCTGAGTCGCTGTGCTGCCAGGGAGAGGGGAGGAACGGTCACTGCTGAACGTCCCCAGGCTCAGCGCTGGGCTGGCAGAGGTCTGCGAGGTCTGGCACGATGCAGAGCCATGCAGGGACGTCCCCGGGCTCACGGTGGTGGCATCGTGCCTCGGCCTGGCCCGTCACGCAGGGAGGCGAGGGGCCGTGCCAGCTGAATTACCCTGCTTTGGGACCCGGCTAGCATCTGCCTGCGCTGCAGAGATCGCTCAGCACCGGGCACTCCACGATGTTCTTTGTGCCTTCCAGGGACAAGGAGCTGTCACAGCAGGCAAGCAGCGTGACAGCCCCAGTCCTTAACACGTGCATTTTTAAGCAATCTCCGTGCTAAAGCTATGGTATTCAATGGGCAGGTTACAGCCGGCTGGAGACCCCGGCCGAGGCATCGCAAAACCAGAGCACGCTGCTGAAAACCACCGCTCGAGAGCCTGGGAGCTTACGGAGGAGAGAGGGAGGCAAATAAGAGGAGGAGGAAAAGGGATGGGAGGCCAGGCAGGGGAGAGGGCAGAACAAAGGGGAACCAGTAAAGCGGTACGGCTGCAGCTCCTCACGCCAGCGCTGCAGCCAGGCCCGCAGGGAACCTACGGAAGGATTAAAAGGATTTCGTTTACTTTCATGCGTGAACACAAAAACTTGATTTACTGTTCCCCAGTGCCAAGAGACCAAAGTGTCCCTGCACTGGACGCCGTAAGAGTCAAAGCCCTGTCTCGCTCCATTTGTTACCGGAGAGTTGATGTTGCTTAATGGTGTCTCTTACCACAGATTGTAGAGAGTTACTCTGGGTTTACAAGCTGGTCAGGTGTACCTGCTCGTTACTCACCCCCATGGCAGACTTTGTAAGCAGTATTTAAAGACAAAAATTCCTTAAACTCATGTTCTTGTAGCTGTGTAAGACAGCGGGACTTGACTCGGGGCTTACTTATGTCCTGTCCACCCCTCCTCCTCCAGCCTGCATATTAAAAAGCTCAATTTCTGCCTTTCACTGGTCCTTCCTAACTACTGCTATAGAGAAATCCAGCCGTTCCCATTACTGCAGAAACACAGCGCTACTCCGAATGCAGGGAAAAGGCTGATTTTCTGGGAGCACAGCGCCTGGGTTTGGACACCGTGCTCTGGCAGTGGTCTCGCGAGGCTTTAGCCCAGCTCTGAAGCTCCAGGAGCAGTTCCCTGCATCCCCACCGTTGCATGGGCAACTGAACTCACGCACTCAAGAACCAGGGAAAAGACCGAAGGCTGGCAGAGGTGACGCTAAGCCGCTCCTTGCGCTGTTTGGCTGTTTGACTGACTGCTCTTCCCATCTTCCAGCACACCTGGACTGGAGAACTGATTCCGTTTAAATACTTATTTAGATCACTACTAAAAAAAGAGTATTTTAAAAATGTTGTGTGTGCTTTATATACAACACACACACATAATATGCTTAAAAAAAAAAAGCATTTAGCTTAGTATCAATCAGCTCCCGGGCTCAGGCAGCTTGGCCTTCCCTGCCTCGGGAAGATGTTCTGGGAGCCCCGCAGACCCCGTCAGAGCTTGGAGGAGGCTCGTTAGCCCGTGTGTTTTATTAAGTCTTTTCTGATTTTGGCCAGTTCTGCCTGCTGAAGGACTAGCTGCTCAGTGATGTGGACCTTGAGTAAGTGCCCGCTGTGGATGGAGAGGAAAGCTGTCCCTC